GGCTTTGCTGAGAGCAGATCATCTTATTTCCATATATTCACGGGCTCTGAATACTGTATACATCTTCCCATTTTCAGTGTTTTTTTTTTTTTTTTTTTGATATTCAATGATGAAAGGGGTAACAAATAAAGATAACACAGTCCTTTCAAATGTATCTTGCTAACAGTTTTAATGAAACACACCAGCTGGAATTAGGAGACAGCACTGAGCTAAATTTGAGACCTAGAAAAACTACAGTAGAAAGGGGATAGATTTTAATTCTCCCTGAAAGGTCTAAGATCAAAATGCAACTTTTATTTTAAAGTATCAAGACAAGATGAATTATCAACAGATCTTTCCTTAAACTATATGAATACTTGAAAAATGGACAGATAGAATAGCTTACTTACTTTTTTATTGTGCTAAATATATATGTAACAACCCATTTGACGTCCCAACAATCTGCACACGTACACGTCAGTGACATTATGCTAATCATGTTGTTCAACCATTGCCCTGATCCACTTTTAAATTTTTCCATTTTTAATTACTTTTTTCCCCCATGTTATAGCATGTATCATAAAATACAGTCTTATCTCGTGTTCCTTTTCTTTTTTAAAAAAATTTTATTGTGATCTGGGCAAAAGTTTACAGAGCAAATTCACTTTCCATACAGCAGCTCACATAATTTTTAATTAGTTTTTAATGGATACATTTAAAGTCACTGGTCCAAAAAAATACTAGACTCTTGTCAAGAGTGACACCATAATCTCACTCACTTCTGCAAAGGGAAACTCTGTGGCTAGGTTAAAACCACCATCAAATACTTGACTAAACCAAAAAAAAAAAAAAACAAAAAAAAAACCACCTCACTGCTGTTGAGTCGATTTTGACTCACTGCGACCCCTCCTTGGGTTTCCGAGGCAGTATCACTACGGCCAATAGATTGCCCCATCTTCCTTCCGAGGAGTGGCTGGTGGGTTTGAACTGCCAGCCTTCTGGTTAGCAGTCAAATGCCTTGGGCACTTCAAAACTGTCAAGGTCATGGGAGACAGAGAAAAGACTGAGAAATTGTCACAGTCCAGAGGAAACAGGGAAGGCATGACAACTAAATACAGGATGGAATTCTGGGTTGAACACTGGAGTCAAAAGAGAACATTAATGGAAAAACTGATGAAGCCTGAGTGAAGGCTGGAGTTTAATTAATGGTAATGTGTAAACGTTAGTCTTTTAGTTTTGACAAACGTTCAGTGTTCACATAAGATGTTAACAGATGGGGAAAACTGGATGAGAGGAACACTGGAACTTCCTGTACTACCTTTGCCACTTTTCTGTAAATCTCAAATCATTTCAAAGTAAAAAGCAACAAAGAACATCAAAGAACAAGGAAATTAGCTTGAATTAATATCTCAGAATCTAAAGGTTTACAGTTAATAATCATCAAACCTCCTAATCTTAAAATGTGCCTCCAAAAAACCAAACCACTGCCATCAAGTTGGTTCTGACTCATAGCGACCTCCATCGGGTTTCCAAGGCTGTAAATCTTTACGGAAGCAGACTGACTCATCTTTCTTCCATGGAGCAGCTGGTGGATTCGAACCACTAACTTTTTGGTTAGCAGCTAAATGCCTTAACCACTATTAAGCACCAGACCACCTTAAAATGCCCCTGCTCCTTTATGAATATTCTTGTATAGACTGAGTTCAGGCATAAATGCAGCTCACCTGACTGTTCCCTTCGCATGCTCAGCCCTGTAGCGTCCATATGGTAAAATACTAGCTTGCGTCCTAAATTCTGTTGCAACTAACTTCCTAAAAGGTCCTTTGAGGCTACTGCAATGAAGATAGATATTCTTTTCTTTTTTTTAAAGACACAAAATTTTTCAGACATAGCTGTGACTTACGAGTGATGGCATCTGAGCGTTTTGGAGCATAAACTGCATCTGCTGGGCGAACATGGCTGCGGCAGTCTTCTGTTGAATCAGATTGTTCCGGCCATTAATCTCCAGCTGCGTCTTTAGATGTGCAGGAGGGTGAAGGTACTTGCAGTTCTCTCTAGTACACCGACCCTAAAAATGAATAATTTGTAAAACTTGCATTAGTACTTTCAAAAACCTAGCATGGCCAAGATAAGAACATTAGCTTATTTACTGAGTCCTTAGACCGTGATAAGTGCTGTACATGAAGTAATTAATTTAATCTTCATAGCAGATGAGGAAACCCAGGCTAAGAGAGGCTAAGTGACTTGCCTACAGTCGCACAGTTAAAAAGTGACGAAAGAACTGAAACTCATTCAGTGAATCTAGAAACTGCTCTCTTAGCTACTCTGTTCTGCTCTACTTTGACTAAATGATAATGGAATTAGAAATAGTGTGGTATCATAACATCATAACATTATAGATTTAAATAATATTTTTCTAACATAAAATGTAAAATTATGCATGTTTAAATTAAACAGGATTCAGATTTTGGATCTACATATACAAATAATCAAGAAACGGGGAAATGTTTAATAACTATATAGACACAGATATATAAATTTTAGACTTCATTACTCTGGGCAACTTGTACTTTGAACATGTTGTCAGGAGTGACCAGTCCTTGGAGAAGGACATCATGCTTGGTAAAATAGGTCAGCAAAAAAGAGGAAGACCTTTGGCGAGATGGACTGGCACAGTGGCTGCAACAATGGGCCATTGTGAGTTGGAACTGACTCAAAGGCACCTAACAACAACATTCGGGCTAATTTAGGCTCCAAACCTCTTTTTCCTGAATCTAGCCAATGTAAGACCCATCCTGAAATTCACTGATACACTGTTAATCAAATAGTAAATCCGGATCATTGGCAGCCATGTTCTTTACTTTCCAGAGGCAACTACCCTAGAGCACTTGGTAAATGAGACCAAAGTGTATTTTGGAGTCTCAGCTATTTGAATGCTCTGTTGATTGGTGAAGCACTTCCAGTTGGGTTAATAGGTCAGTCCTGTGGAATCCAACATGCCTTCGGTGTTGCCTACACCCTGACACAATTGCTGATTGTGGTGTTTACTATCCTGAAACAAAGGATGTCCTTGGGCTTTGGGCTTATCACACTGTCATAATGTGATCTATCACTGTGTGTGTTTAACTTGTGAGCTCTATATAAGCAGATGATTCTTCACATTGAAAATCAAGGACAATGGCAAACAATTTATTTTCCCCAACAGATGCAAAGATTGCTTACACTGCATGACATTTTGGGAGGGAAGGGTGAAGAAAAGGCAGCAACTCCTTTTTCCTTTTTTTTGTGGGGGGACCCAAGAATACAAGTCGCTAGGCCACCTGAAGTCCCAGGAGAAAATTGAGTTAGTTTCCCAAGTGTTTTCATTCAACACACGGGATACATTTTCCGTATTTACAGTGCCTAAGTGGTTTACACAATCATTTTCCCATATGACAGTCAAGGTACATGTATCCCCTGCTTTTTGAAAGACTGCTTTATACCACTTCATTTTTGTGAAAGACCGACATCAGTACCTGTTTTCACTGTGTGAAAGAAAGCCGAAGAGGATTTTCACTTTCGCTAGAAAAGGCGAAAAGCCGAAAGCAGCAGTCAGAGTTTGCTTTGCAGTGGGCAGACGCAGCGCACACCCCGAGGGTGGCGTGGTCAAGCTCCTTCCCCAGGACCTACACTGTATATACATTATTCCCTTTTATATGGGCTATGTTTCTCATTCCTGCTTTTATTATATGTTAGTGTTATTTTAGGTTTTACATGTTATTTCGTATGATTTGGGAGGCTACTGTTTGGTCCCAAAAAACCAAACCCAAACGCACTGCCGTTGAGTCGGATCCGACTCATAGCAACTCCTCGTTGGGTTGCGGAGGCAGTATCACTACGGAAGTAGATTGCCCAACCTTCCTTTGGAGGAGTGACTGGTGGGTTTGAACCGCCAGCCTTCTGGTTAGCACTCAAATGCCTTAGGCACAATTTTTTCCTATATAAAGTAATGGCAATTGCTTCTTCACTTTCAGCCATTTCAACTTGACTTACGAAAGGTTTCATAGGAATGCTTTACGTTTGGATCGTGCAGTAAACCTGTATATCCTTCAAAATTTTTATAGAGTTACATAGAATGCCAAAGCACATGCACCACAATTGCTCTTTTAAGTATTAGAGCTGCGACAAAGTGCCCTATGGGGCACTTCTACTTTGTCCTACAGGGTTGCTATTAGTTGGAATTTCACTCAACAGCAGTGAGTGTGGGGTTTTTCCCTCACCTGTGGTCCCAAAGAGAAACCATAAGCCTCTTTTCCTACCCACCAGCCACTCCTTGGAAGGAAGGTTGGGCAATCTACTTCCGTAGTGATACTGCCTTGGAAATCCAAGGAAGGGGTCGCTATGAGTCGGATCCGACTCCACGGCACACAACAACAACAACACAACCTAAACCAAGGCAGAGAAAGTCGTAAGGATTTCATAATCCCTATATACACCACCCCCCGCCCAATGTTACTGACGTTATCTGACCCAGAACTAAACATTGGGGGGAAGCAGTGACATTTGGCAACTTCCACAACCCAGCACACTTGCTTATACTTTCGAGTTTCTCTTTCTCCTCCCCCATTGTAACATTAAAAATTCTCCCAAGGCTCGGTCCTAAATCCTCGGCTCTCCTCTAATCTCTTTACCTCCGAGAAATGAGGCTCTTCCAAAGTTTCAGCCATCACTGCAATTGCTCGGATCTTAAATCTCTATCTCTACCTCTGACGTCTCTCCTGAATTTCAGTCCTATGTAACCAATTGTAGCTGCATTTGGAGAGCCTGCATTTGGAGCAAATTACCCTCAGGTTTCCCAAGCCAAGCCAATGGTATCCCAGTACCCCATCTTCCAATTTAGATCAACAGACTCAACTAAATACAGACTCAACCTACCCGTTTCCGTTGGGTCGATTCCAACTCAGAACGACCCTACATGGACAGAGTAGAAGTGCCCCAGAGAGTTTCCAAAGCTGTCAAACTTGACAGAAGATTTTTCTCATAGCTTTTTCTGTTTGTTTCCATATCTTTATCCTGCAGAGTAGTTGGTGGGTTTAAACCACCAACCCTTCTTCACTTAGGACCCCAGAGATTAACCACAGCTCCACCAGGGCTCCTTAGACTGAACCTAACCAGTTCAAATAATTCACTCCAGCCCTTCCTTCTCCTGTCACTAATTTACTTGTTGCCTTCTTGCACACTCAGATTTAGGGCCACTGCTCCAATTCTGCTTTGGACCAGTTCCATAGCCCCAAATAGTGAGGCTCAGGCAGCTGCAGAGCAGGGTTGCCTGCAGATTGCAAAGCCACAGCTCTCCTTGATGTTTGTATCACAGACAATTAGCATACACAGTCATCAGTATTTACATAGACCATTCAAAGGTTGACAATTTGTCTATTGCTAACACCCCTCCTCCAAAAGAAAAGCTATATAAATGAGGATTGTCTCTCACATCCAGCAATTCCAAACAACAGATCAGATTAAAAAAAAAAAAAAGAATAACACATCGGGATTTCACCATTTATTATAATTTCAGATTTCGCTATCATTTACTGAATGCAATTGAAGCCAGAAAAAGGAAGGGAGGGAGGGAGAAAACACAGGGGATTTGGCATATTTCCCGCTAATCTACAAAGAATCACTCCACGCCTTTGTGCTTTTTTTTATCACTTTTCTTTACATATAGTAACATTTCTTAAGCATTTTCTTGGGAAACTAATGATACTTTTACAAAGCAAAACCAGCACATTGAAATAGAAAATTAGAATTCCACCTCAAAAACCGTACCAAGTTGTACTATAAACCTCATGTACAGAATACGAGGCAGCACAAGATGTAAAGACACTTAATCATCTTAGTTATGAGATTTTACTTGATTTCTAAAGCATTCTATTTTGAGTGACATAATCCATAATTGAATTCTGTGGCAATGAAAGTGCATAGATATGCTATGGATGGTTACTTATGTTAAACAAAGCTTAGAAAAGCAAAAAAAAAAAAAAAAAATCTACATTCTCTATCCAAACAATAGATGTAATTCAATATCTATATTATCAGTGGAACAAAATGTTTCAAAAGAAAACAGAGTCCACGGAAGTTTTTGCAAAATAACTTTAGAACTCAAATGATGTGTTTATATGCACAACACTTGATGAGAATAAATCTCCTCTGTGTAGCATTCATTCTTCATGACTCCCAAACTTAATTATAGGCCAAAATACTTTAGTTGGACATTTTGGGGGACAAACTAGTTAACATTTGATTTTAGTCTTTGCAGAAGATTAAAGCTTTGGTAAGGCATATATGGTTGGGATAAGGGTAGGAGGGCAGGGACTGTTCCAGCAGAATAAATTATCACCTGTTATTTTTGTCCTTTGAAAAACCAATGACTATAGACTAGAAAAGGAGACCTGGTTAAGCACTCAGCTGTTAACTGAAAGGTCAGTGGTTCAAACCCACCAGCTGCTCCATAGGAGAAAGATGTGACAGCCTGTTTCCTTAAGATTTACAGCCTTGGAAACCCTGTGGGCAGTTCTACTCTGTCCTATAGGGTCACTATGAGTTGGAATTGACTTGATAGTCCTATAGGGTCACTATATGAGTTGGAGTCGACTTGATAATCCTATAGTGTCGTATATGAGTTGGAGTCGACTTGATAATCCTATAGGGTTGCTATATGAGTTGGAGTCGACTTGACAGTCCTATAGGGTCACTATATGAGTTGGAGTTGACTTGATAATCCTATAGGGTCGCTATATGAGTTGGAATCAACTTGATAGTCCTATAGGGTTCGCTATGTAAGTTAGAAAATGAGTCAGAGTTGACTTGATGGCAATGGATTGTGTCTGGGTTTGGGATACATGAGAAAATCTTTGATGACTTCCCTGGGCCAGCTAAACACTCTGAGTGGGCCACAGGATAGCTATCACACCAGGTCTATAGCAGCCTGGAAGCTACCTTGATTTGGAGCAAATTACCCTTCCCTCAGGTTTCTCAAACCAGGCCAATGGTGTGCCCCACCCCCCCATCTTCCAATCTTGCTCACAGACTCAGGGTTGCCATGTGCCCAGTGCAAAGCATTGGACCATCTCATAAACGACTGGTCAATCTACAAATGTGTCACCTATGACAATCGCCCTCCTCTGGCGGAGCAAGTTATATCCTGAAAATACCAGTCTGGACTAGTCAAAATGTTTACATCAACTTCTGTCTCTCTGATCTCTCTCTCCCTCCCCTCTCCCTCACCCCTATATATATTGTTTTTAGGTGCTGTCCAGTCAATTCCAACTCATAGTGACCCCATGTGGCAAAGCAGAACTTCCTCATGGAGTTGTCTAGGCTACCATCTTCACAAGAGTACATCTCCAGGTCTTCCATCCTTGGAGCTACTAGAAGGGTTTGAATCGGCAACATTTAGGTTAGCAGGCCAGTGCTTAACCATTGTGCCACCAGGGATATAGACATATATATACACACATAGGCACTCTGGTAGCACAGTGGTTAAAGCATTGGGCTGCTAGCCCAAAGGTCAGCACTTTGAACCCACCAAGCTGCTCTGGTGGAGAAAGATGAGGCAGCCTGTTTCCGTAAAGATTTATAGCCTTGCAAACCCTATGGGGCAGTTCTACTCTGTCCTATAGGGTTCCTATCAGTTGGAATCAACTTGATAGGAATGAGTTTATATATAGAGATAGATAGACACACACACACACACATACATACGTATCTCTTTGTGTGTCTGTGTGTATGTATATATATAGGTCTCAGTATAAATGTCGATGTCTATATATGTCCATATACATACATGTCTATATACATACATATATACACACAAGTAAAAGAAGCATTGGAGAGATCATAGGGTTCAAGCTCATTTATGCTCTCCTCAGTTTCCCTCTTTCTCCATTCTCTTTTGGCATTAGAAAAATAAAATCATTCTCATCTGGTCCTTCACTGTGTTACTGAGTTAAGAAAATAGCAAAGTGACTCAATAGAAAAGTGATTCTCTGAGGAAATAAGTGCTACCACACCGATGAATCCTCCTGTTCCCCTTTCTCAGTCTCTTGCCTTTGAAAATGCACCCAAAAAGCAGCAGGGGGAAAAGTGGCCAATGACATTTCCAAAACACATCTGCATCAAAAAGCTGATGACAGACAATGAAAAAAGTTGCAGAGCATTTACCAAACCTCCAAAATTCAATCTATCTCCTTTTTCCTACCTTCAGGCTTTTCACAAATGAATACAAAGCCTTCGATTGAGAGAAAAGTCGCACTGTCGAGAGTTAAATCCCGCCTAAGTCTGGGGAGTTATGAGAGTGAGAGTCTGTCAGAGACAAGACTTTCATGCACTTGGTGGTAGAAATGTACTTTTTATTTCTCTGTTCATGAAAGCTCTACCATCCATCCGAATGAGAAAAGGACCCTAGGAAGCAGAAAATTACCCTTTGTCAGTCATAGCATCTTAACAGAAAACAGCTGTTTGCAGAATGATTTGCTTCTTCAAATACATTTGGAATTACAGAAGAAAAAAAAAAAACCTTTCACTCGTATACAATTATAGCTGAATCACCTATTCACAAAGTAATCTCACTGCTCTGCTAAACTACCAAGAGTTAAAAGTTAAATAAAGGCACTGAATGGATAATTTGTTCTATGATGAAAAATGTTATTATTCCATTTTAATGATGACGTGTTAAATGAAAAATCCGATTGATGATAATGCCCCACTATAATGGATTATGTGTGTAGACATGTCTTCTTAGAGGAAGTAACAGTGATTTTGGAACTACTGTACATATCATATGTGCTAGGTTGTTCGGTTCCTACAACCATCACAGACCTATTGGAAGCTAGGAAAAACCTGAAAGAGCTAAAAGTGAGTCAATATTAACATAAACTGACTATTAGCCAGATGTCAGTATATTAATGGCAATTTTCCCACTTTCTCCCTGTTAGAGTTCAGTCTTTAATAAATATGGATATAATCTCCTCCAAATATTCTACCATCTATGAATATTGATATTAATGCACAAAGGACACTTTCCAATCTTCCATGAGACTTGTCATTTACATTTGGGATGCAGGTAAGACATCTGAAAAGAAAAAAGGCCTTTAATAAACCATATCCTGAATATATTGAAGGCAAAATTAATGAGGTTGAACCTAGCCCTTCCCCCCCATGGAAAGGGCCAGCCAGGTAGAAGGACCGGTACGCACCGGCTCCACTGCAATCAGCACTGCGCCTACCTCCTCATGCTGTTGGAACTCTGCTTTCTCGACACATGCAGGATACAGGGCAATGACTTTAGTGCAAACCACATACCAAGTATGAACAGAATATGGGAGGAGGGCAGGAAATGTTTCCTGCCTTTCTGCCTTATGGGGGCTTTCAAATTGTAACCTCCAAAGATAAAGGGAGGACTCCATTCAACAATCACGCTGTTATTCCTAAATAACCCACTAAGATCATTTGATTCCCAGAATTGTAACATTTCAATGCTGGGCTGGTGTTTAAGGAACATCTTGTGCACCTTTATCTTGTGGAGAAAGAAAGCAAAGGCCAAAGAGGGGAGGTGGCTTGCCCTCACCCACAAGCAGCTCAGTAAGGACAAAAGCCAAATTTCCAGGCTTTTGCTACCCAATACGGAGTCTTAGTTCAAATAACTCTCCGTTTGTAAATATTTTCCTGAACCCATCTCCCCACCCCACCACTGTTTATCTCTCCCTCCTTTGTGCCCCAACTGCACCTTGTACTCAGTTTTATCATAGGACTTATCTCTGTGTCCATCGATGAATACTTTGCATGCCTGTCACCACTACTAGACTTTGAGCCTATCTAAAGGAGGACTATGTAGTCTTCCTCTTTGTATTCCCAAGGCTGGCTCTGTGCTTGGTGAATTGTAAAAATCAAAACCAAACCCACTGCCATGGAGTCAATTACAGCTCAAAGCGACCTTATAGGGCAGAGTAGAACTGCCCTAGCGGTTTCCAAGGCTGTAATCGTTACTGAAGCAAATTGCTTCATCATTCTCCTACACAGTGGCTGGTGGGTTCAAACCACTAACCTCTCAGTTAGCAGACAAACACTTGAACACTGCACCCCCAGGGCTCCTTAGTGAACAGTAGCCACTCCATAAAAATTTGTTGAACAAATGAATGAATTTGGTAAGAATAACTTTATAAGACCTAACACTAAGTCTGTTTTAGAAGCCTAATTGACTCTCCTGCTATTTCAGTTCATAAATTCTTTTTTCTCCCTCAGAAGAGAGAACAGTAGTCAACACATGGCTGAGGTTGTTCATGCTTGTCTGTTCCAAATGAACCATTATTCTATTCAGGTTTTTTTTTTTTTTTTAAATAGTTTGTAACTTTGTGTGTGTGTGTGTGTGTGTGTGTGTGTGTTTAACATGACTATATACCTTAGACTGTATGTGACCATCATGGCTGAAAAATCCTGCCCATTTAGTAAAACTGAACAGAAAGTGTCAAGAGGCCAAGAGACACACAAGCACAAATCCTGGCCTAACCCCAGGGGTCTCTAGCTACAAGAGCCTCCAGGGTATAGGGGCCTACTGAGCTCAGTAAGGAAACCTGGAGCAGATCCATATCTGATCAGTATCTGGATTTGCCCAAGGACTTCCGGGGTCAGCTTAGAATAAACTACCTTCTCTACGTGCCCCACTCCCACCCCACATTTCTCTGAGTAAGCTGCAAATCATATTCCCTGAAGCTACACGGCCAAAGGTAGAATATGAGGCTTTAAGATATTCCCAGCGTTGGGCCTTCTTGTGGGTCTCTACTGAATATGCTGACGTCTTACAAGAAAAATGCTCTCAATTCACCTTACGAACCATGTCCAGCTTCCATTCACATTAAAGAGTTATTTTCAAATAATCGTGAGTTCGTAAGTTTTCTGTGAAATTTTTTGAAGAGCAAATAAGACTACAAGATGCCATTGTTATTACCAGTGAAACCAATCGTGCCTCTCCACTACCCCAAATCACCTTTCTGCCCCCCCTTTGCTCATATTCCCCGCCCTCCATGTCTAATCAAATACCTTTAATCACTTTAGAAAAAATATTAACTAAATGGCTGGTCAGTCGTAAGCTCCTCAAGAATACATTATCTCTGCTTATAGCAAACCACAATCAAATTAAAACCCAAAGACAGTGACGCACATTGGTACCAAGTTACCAAAAGTCAGAAGCCGTCCTTGGTGCTAAGCATTCATAGAAGCTGCCCTCACAGTAGTTGACGGCTGCCAACATAAAAGATTATTAAAATACAGGGGGGGAAAAAAGGAGAGAAAACTTAATGGCATTCAATTTGCTACACCAGGAAATAAATCACGCATAAAAGCACTCGCAAAATTACACAACTTCAAAAAGCTACTACAAAGGCTTCATTGTGAGACAACATGAAAGAGTGTCTCTCTCTGGCCCACAGTCAGTCATATCTCCTGCTCTTAGGGTTCCCTTGCTTCCTTTCACCAGGCGCACACCCCATTCAGTCACCTACCACAGCGATGCAGAAGCCAGGACAGAGAGGACATCGGCTACTTGCATGCCTTTTTCCGGGCTCGGGCTTCTAACTAGAATCCTCCCGATTAGGATCATCAGATTTAGCAAATAAAAAGCAGGGCATCCAATGAAGTTGAAATTTCAGGTGATCAATATATGATTAGCATTTTAGTGTAAGTATGCCTCGTACAATAAATAAAATAAAATAAAATAAAATCTGGCAACCCTATGCCTATCTGTTCCAACCTGCTAGAAGCAGCTAAATAAAGTCCAATTCTCAGAAAACCCCTCCTGGCCCTTCCAGCTTAGGTCCTAAGAAGCCCCCTCCATGGACTCAGCCCAAGCTCTTCCAGGCTTTCAGTCGCCTGGAGCATTCCAAGCTTACCTGACCAGCTGCAAGGAACTCAAGGAAGTGGCCTGTTGGAGAAAGCAATTTTTGTTTCCACGGCTCCTCCCACCAAAAGCTTCACACGGCTCGCTACCCTATCAGCCCTCCACTTTCCCTGCCACAATGGTGCAACCTTAGGTTTAAATGACCTTGAGGCCTGTCAGAGCTCCCCCTTTAGGTCAAGATGAAGAGGGGTATGGTGCGGGGCCAAGGTCTGCCTAACTCCTGACTCCTAAAACATGTAACAGTTTTTTGAACGTATGAAATATATTATGTGAACCTGAGGCTTTTCTGGGATTTAAGGTTTTTATTTCCGTGTGCATGTGAGTGCATATGGGGGGCAGTAGGTTCAATTTTATTTTCCCATCTGTTTGTGGAATACTCGAATTCACGCTTCTATTCAAGCCCAGGAAAATGCCTGCTTAAGTGTTATGTTTCTACCTGCACACATAAGACCTATGCAGGTACATATTCAAAGCACACAGAAAAATTACCATTATTTCCCCAGCTATCTTTTTCAGTCGACCCTTGATGACTCACACTAAAAGAGAATGGGACATAGAGGAGGAGCACGGTCCATTCTAATGAGGAAACTAATGTAGTCAGGAAAAATCGCAATGCCTAAAAGCCCACATTCCAGAACATTTAGGAACCAACTCAATGTCAACACGGTCCAGAAATGATTTTTTTCTTTGTCAAGGATTCTGCATTAAGAGGATTGGAACGAATCAAACTGGACTAGAATGGAGACGCTTATTTGTTCAGAGACAACGTGGCATAGAACTGTTAAATGATACATCTGGCCAGTCTTTTAGAGAACATCTGGCCCTGCAGTTGCCAGAGTGGGTGCCACGGACCACAATTCCCAGGGGAGGATTCTCAACATGGGGTTTGCTGGTCAAATAGTGTAAGGAAATGGCACAGTAAAAGTCCCACAGTATATTTTTGTTTACCCCGCATTTCCCAACACCGTTAATCACAGAAATCGCTCCCATTCTTCTTCATCAAAGACTTGTTAACATCTCTCTTTCTCTTACTGAAATACTGGTCTAATCCAACTCCCTCATCCTACAGATTAAGAAATTAAAGCTCAAACCAAGGCACACGATATTTTATAGGTCAAGTTAGATTTCTTTCAGACTTTCATTTTTATTCCTCTCTTAAATAACTCCAAAGGTCTTCCATTGAAATAAAGTTGAACACTTTTGCTACTTTTCCTAGGATGGCTAGAAAGTAAGATCCTACAACCCACCCTCCCATTCCCTCTCCCAAAGCTGTAAGTGATGTCAACTCTTTGCAAATGGCTTCTGTGGCTGTCTTCTTTTGTTTAAATGCTTTAGTCAGGCAACTTCTGAAATAAGAACTGCAAGCTTTCTCTGTCCAACTGGCTTCCTTACATGTTGACTTCCGTCCCTTGAAACCATGCCAGTTAGATTTTAGGTTTCCCATGATTTAAGGATCTCAAATGAATTTTAACTGTACTAAAACTTGGGAAGTAGGAAGGTATTTTGGCAAACCCCTCCATTCCAGAGGGTCTTAGTTTTGCACTAAACTTGAACCTTAAGGTTTCACTTGGCAAATGAAGTTTCCGCCTCTAAGTAAAATGAAAGTTTCAAAGTAGGATTTAATTTAGATAAATATCTCACAAATGTATGGGGTATAAGGTGAGAAAGGCACTGATTACCTTTCCGATTTAAACAATTTATCTTTGTAGGGCTCAGTTTACTGCTTAGAATAAATTAAATAATTATGTGTCTACAGCCAGCTACATAGCCCTCCACCCAAGGGTTATATAAAGGGCAGATATAGTTACTCATTTACCTCAGCATTTTGAAACTAGAGCACAAAGATGAAAATCAGTCCCTGATTTGCTAAGGATAAGTTTTCTTTCAGTTAAAGAAATTTGAAAACATGATATGGAAATTGTTGTTTATAGGGTCTTGGGAAATTCCTAAGTGTGAAATCATATTTTAAATCCCAAATAAAAACCCAGGATAGAAGTGCCACACAGGGTTTTGCGGAGCAGTTGGTGGGTTTGAACTGCCAATCTTCAGATTAGCAGCCCAATGATTTAACCACAGTGCCCTTAAAGCTCCTCAAAACCTCAAATAGAGTCAAATATATACCCACTTGGTTAAACAGAAACTCAGTATCCCTTAAGCAATAACTCCTCATCCCCCTCTCCCCAGCCCCTGGGAATTGCCAATAAACTTTTGTCTCTATGCTATTGCCCCAAGGAAAATGTAATCCAATGTAAACAACTAGAACAAGACACTAAAAGAGTGGTAGACTTATAAGGATGTACTGTTCTTTGAAACTGTATACAAAAGTGTACATTAAGGACCAGAATGTTTCTAGTGTCAGCAGTGGTAGTCTATTGAGTTCTTTTTAATTAGTGGAATAATGACTTTGGTGAGGGACAATAAAATAATAGAAAACAAATCTACTGCAGCTCCATTGTGCTCTCCCTGAAAATCAGGGTAAAATTAGAAAGCATGCTTTTTTTTTGAAAAAATCAAAATGAGTCCAGTTTCTTATGTTTTCCTATATAAGATAAATCCAATTCCATTCTGGAAAAATATTTCATAACATGATAGAGTGAAATAAATTAGGTAGTTGAAAAATCAGTGTGGCAATCTTTCATACTTATTTTCCTATTAAAGACAACTGGAACATTTGTTTGAAACCCACTACTAATCCAGTATCTTATTTTATGCATTACACTGACTTTACATACTAGATTCTAGTATGACCCTTCCGACGTGAACTAATTTTGACCATTTACGAGTGCTGAAGAATAATCATAAACACAGGTTGAGCTCATATTATTTGGCATGTGAGAACTGTTGACACACATTTTGAGACCAGAGTGAGGACCCATAAAATTACATTTTTCCATTAATATCATGAAAGTAGTCATAATAACATAACTTATTGATGGGTTTATAGAACACTATGTTCTGGTTTGCCTTTTTTTCATATCGTGCCTGTGATCTGAATAACAATAACTAATTTATTGTATATTTATCATGTGCCAGGCACCAATCGAAATGTTTTATATGCATTACCCAGTAACTCTAGGAGGCCAGTTTTATTATCATCTCTGTTTTATAGTCGAGGTAACTGAGGCACAGAGTGGTTAGTAAAAGGCCCAAAGGGACACAGCTAATAAGCAGCAGAGCTTGGATTTGGATCTAAGTGCTCTGGCTCAAAGCCCTCACTCTTAACCACTGCACTTTATTGCCTCTCAATACTTGGACATGTACTAAACTGAGGAATGAGCTAGTTCAAGTATTTCTACTGTCTGGGTCACTATTTTCCCTCTAAGATCATAACAAAGATTGTGTTCGGTATGTCCAGAAACTATTTAATAGATAAATGGTGACAAGTGGGATGTTTTGTTAAGTACCTATGAACCTTGAAAATGAGTAAGACAAAGAAACAGAATGCTAAATATATAGTCTTCCACCCTTACTGAAGCAGAACAGTTAGTCTTAACATTTACCTTGTTAACTTTTTAGTAAATGTTGGCACTATAGTGGTTAATCTGTTGGTTTGGGAGAAGCAGTGTCAGGTATCAGGGGTTGGTTTGAAGTCACATGGGTCATGAGAGCTTAAGCATTATGACCCTGACCCGATGAAAGAAAAAGTCTAGCAATACCCCGTGGGCATAGAGAACAGATGGACGTGGTGCTCACCCAAAGAGTTGGCCATGTACATCTTGTGAGGATTGAAAAAAAAAACAAACAAAAAACCTCACTGCCATGGAGTCAGATCAGACTCATAGCGACCCCTCCTTGGGTTTCCAAGGTGGTATCACTAAGGAAATAGATTGCCCAACCTTCCCTCCGAGGAGCGGCTGGTGGGTTTGAACTGTCAGCTTTCTGGTTAGCAGCCTTAGGCACTGCGGCACCAGAGCTCCCTGTGACTATTAAGAATCCTTTAAATACACAGTGGTGCCATTCTCAAGCAGGTTTACTCAGGCCACAAATCCGAACAATGCTGAATGATTAACCATGACAAAAAATAGCACAGGGCATTCTTCTGAAGCATTTCGCTTGATCAAAGAATACAGGCAAATGAGAACTCACAAAAACTCACGCTCCTTCTTATAAAAGGCTACCCTACCGAAAGTTCCGTTTTAGTAAGGGTTTGGTTTAAACCACTACAGAGTGTATATACTTTGAGATGACCGATCTGTGGCCTAGAAATCAGAGTTTGACTTTTTCAACACTTCAACTGTAGGCTATTAACTGGGTTATAGTTATTTCTCTCTATATTGCCAATTTCTTTTTGGATAAGTAAACATTAATCGCAAATAAAACTGAAGATTTCAGATACAAATGAATATATGCCTGTAACAGGTAGACAGGTCAATAATGTCAACATATCAATTCTTGGCAATTATAATCTATCACTGAGGTTTTTTCTTCAGTTTTTAAATGACAAAGTGCTGTAGATATTTGCTGATGGCAAGGGAATTTGACTTTTATGATAAATGACTAGAAAATTGAGCATGTAGAAGCTAAAAACATACTTCTACCTTCAGAGACAAAATGAGAGGGGAAAAATCATAATGATAACAAATAAACTTGTTATTGATGTGAATCAACTGTTTGGAACCAGGTCACAGGCTGTTCAGATTCTGATGACTAATGCATTTGTTCCTAGACAAAGCGAGTATAAATTTACATTTTAATATGAATGTACTATTTTATTAGAAAGAGTGGTAGGCTAGAATTCAAGAGCCTTAGATTCTAGTTACCTTTAGATTATGGGTAACTTATTTTCCAATTCTGCTATTCCAGTCTCTAAAAATAATTCTTGGTCCTACTAATTTAAAAGGAACCTGGTGGCAGAACAGTTAAACCTTGGCAGCTAACTGAAAGGTTGGTCTTTCAAATCCACCCAGCAACTCTGTAGGAGAAACATATGGGTGGCAGTTCTACTCTGTTACAAGGGGTTGGTATGAGTCAAAGTCAATTGGATGGCAGCTAACTAACTAACTC